TTTATGACGACAACGTTTGCCACTCCAACTGTTAAAACTTAATCACTTCGCAATTAACCTAATAGTTACCAAGCTACAAAACATCCCCCCAACTCGCCCAAGATGTCAGGTCGCACTGGTCGCCGCTCTCACGCTACGGAAGAAGATCACCGCCAGCAAATGCTAAGCATGCTTGCTGATCGAGACATCGTCCGCCGCGCTGAGCTCGACAGGTTTTCACGCGTGCTCCGCAATGATGACGACGTGGATGTCGACTCACCGTGCCCGATTTTCGACGCGTGGTATATGGAAGGAGGAGCTGACGCCGTAAGCCGTCTGACCAACTTTACTCCTCGCGAACTCAACGCACTGTGGTCCATAGTGCGGCTGCACGTCACGCGCTACTGGAACGTCGGAAGAGGACGTCGCTCTCAGTTTGCTGGAAAGGACGTTCTCTTCATGACAGTAGCTGTGCTCAAACACGGAGGCACCTGGGATATGAATGCTCACGTTTTTCGGATCAAAACCCCGACGTTTATCAAGACGATAACGTCGTTTTGCCGTGTACTTGCGCCGCGCATTTACGATGAGTGGGTGCGAGGAAAAGCGGTAGAGACCAACATGCGGCGGCTGGTGACTTCCGGAAACACCTTTAGTCACTACCCGTGTGCGTTATATGCGACGGACGTCACTTTCCAACAGGCCAATCGACCTGCTGGAAACATGGCCGAAGTGATGCCGTACTATAGTGCTAAGCACAAATTGTACGGCCTCAAGGTAGAGGTGTCTGTAAACCCTAAAGGCTTCGCTATCAACTGCAGCCAGCACGAGCGCGGCAACACGCCCGACATTTCGATCTTCCGGAATAACATGGAGTTCCACTCGAGCATGCGCGTGAAGTCGGAGACCGACAAAACAATTCCGGACGAGGGCCCGTTGCGCGAGGAATTTCCCAGTGAATGGGCAGTACTCACCGATAAAGGTTACCAGGGGCTGGAAGCCCACCTTCGCTGTATCCACCCGACTAAAGGCTCGAACCTCCCGCCCGAGATTCAGCGCCGAAATGAAAACATCTCTAGTGACCGAGTCCTCGTTGAAAACTTCTTTGGGAGGCTCTGCAGTTTGTGGCGCATTGTCGCGGACAAGTACCGCTGGAGCGAGGACTTGTACGACGATATTTTCCAAGTTTGCGTGAGTTTGACCAACTTCCACATTGAGTCAAACCCACTGCGAGATGCCAACGGTGAGGCCTACGCACAGCGGGAGAACAGACTACGTGCTATTGGCAACACCATTAAAACAAAACGACGTCTGTCGCAGGACAAGTACCGAAGCCGAAAGAGACTGCGCCACAGCATGACGCTTGACGACCTTCCAGGCCACGACGATTTCATCTGCGACTCAGACGATACGCAACTGTCGGGTTACTAGTTAAAAGTAGTTTAGTTCGAAGACAAAACAGCATGGTAGGAACGGGCTGCATTATTAACGATCTCGGCGATCTTCTAGAAGAAACACGAGTGTTCGATTTGTGCACACACATTTATGGCCCAAAATGTAGCTCGCAAATTCTAATACAACTGGTTATGCGACCTAACATGTGTGGACACGATTATGAGTTGGACATTAGCGTAGCATGTAATTCATATACCCCGCTATATCGGATCAGTGGGATTAGAGGTAAAATTGACAAATCACCGGATCGCTTTAAATTCCCGATGAAAAATTATTAGACGAACCCCTATGTTTATTGAGGGGGACTTCTGTACATACAGTACACGTTTTTGTAATGTAGTTTAAGCAAAATACATTTACAGGACAAACATAGAAAAACACCACAATAGCGGAATAAACACCACAAAAACGTGTGAGCTCCTTGGATTGTGTTTCAGCACCCTAAATTGTGTTTCAGCACCCTAAATTGTGCAACAGCACTACCAATCGACGACAACCACCGATTTTTATTGACAAGCACTTTCCTTTCTAGTACAGCACTTTCCTCTCAAAGTGCTTTGCAACAACTAGCCACCTCGAAGCCGCCTTCACGTACGCCACCATGCCTACCCAGCTACCCTGGACCGTACTCGCCGACAACGTGTCTAAGAAGGATGCGGATCTCCTTCTTATGGACTTCAAAAGCTATAAAACTGAAAAGAGTGAGTTGAAGACATGTCACTGTTCGTCGCAGCAGCTCCCCCACAACATGCGCCGACGCATCTTGGCGTGCAAGTCTACGTGCTGTGCTGAAGCGGCGCCACTTGGGAAGTGCCCGTGGCGGGGGAAGACGCAGACGTGTCTGCTACTCGGCGAGGTGGCTCTCATGGAGTGCTACGGGCACCTGACTGAGCTGCGCTCGCCACGCTCGGCCCTCCTAACCAGCACCATGAAGGAGGCGGTAGAGGGAATGACGGCGCAGGGGCTTAAACCCCAGCGTATCCGTAATGAGTTAGTGCGCCAGTTTCGCTTGGATGAAACCAGCGCACCATCGTTGCCAACCGTTCAGCATTTTGCGCAGCATTTCGCGCGCACGCGGCTAGGTGGCAGTGACAGCTTTGACGATGTGCAAGCTCAAGTAGAACGAATGGTGTTTACGCCGGGGCAACAAGACGGTGAACCGTTCACGTTTACGTGGGAAACCAATGCTGATGGCATTCCTCAGGTCGGCTCCGGCACCGACGACGAGTCATTTATCGTTGGCTTGACGTCGGAGCGCCTGCTTCGACGAATGGACCGCGACCCCAACAGGTTTGTCTTGCATGGAGATGCAACGTTCAAGCTGAATCAAGCAGGATATCCAGTTTTCGTTGTCGGTATTTCCGATACTAGCCGGTCATTCCACCTAGTCGCGCTCTTCGTTATCTCCCAGCGCAGAATTTCCGATCTTTTACAAGTCTATGCCTCACTGCAAAAAGTGAATCAAAATGTGGTGGGTAGACCGCTGTGTGTCCGCTACGCCATGTCTGATGCCGACGATGCCCAGTACGAGGCAACGATATCTGTACTTGGGTCGGCTCAGTCAAGTGGAAGCCATAAGGAATCGATTACTGCAAGCCCGCATTTGGTCCCTCTCATGTGCTACTACCACGTTGTTGCCAAGGTTTTTCAGCGCTCTCGATCACTACGCCCTTCCGTCGCTGCCAAAGTACTGAAGGATGTCGGGGACATGCACTACAGTGCTAACAATGAAACGTTTTTGGCTACTAAAGAGAGGGTGCTTGCCGAATGGGATAGCAACCACGAACTGGAGGCATTTCGATCCTACTTTGTGCGGCAATGGCTTACTGGAAGATTCACGAGGTGGCAAATGTTCCATACGCCACGGGGGTTTGCTACGACGAACAACCCCGTCGAACAGTTTAACCGCACCCTCAAGCGCGTGTACACGCTGCATGCACGTCTGAAAATGGGCAGCCTCCTTATGCAGCTGAGCGCCTGCTGTCGAGCTGAAGGCATGACCCTGAAGCCGTTCAGCACGTCGGTCGCACCATCGCCATCACTGCAGCGACGAATGCGCGAGTTGAGGCGCGAGCGAAAGCTCTACGTTCCGCTCCCTCCTCGCAACAGCATGGCTTATCTGCTTCAGGATGACTTTGAAGCGGGCGCTGGGGATGTCGTGCGTGTCGTATCCACGCGCTGTGAACGTGTACTTGATCCAGCTACCGGTCGCAGGAGCGAAGCCATTCTCACCACTGCTAAAATGTCTAGCTGCAATGCTCGGAAAGAGCTGGAGGGGATGCCTGCGTCTGGCTGGGCGGTCAACGTGCCGGAAAGAACCTGCGAGTGCCTTTACTTCGAGAAGTTTACCACGTGCGTTCACCTTCTGCTCATACTTTCGAACAGAGGGATGAGCGCGTCAGGTCGACGGGAGACCCTCTACTACCGAGGGCCAAACAAGGCCCGGCGCCTCGCTGTTAATGGACAGCCTGCAGGACGACCAGCAGAGAATAGTGCTTCTCTCCTAGTAGAATAGAGGTCAGCTTCGTTAGTTAGTTTCAACGTACAGGAAACAATGCAATGCCATTACCTTGAGGCGCAAAATTGAACATCGTCAGCAGTAGGCGCCTCATGAGCAGCATCCAGACGGCCTCAGCTTTTCTTGCGGTGAGGGGGCAGCGGTTCTCATGGCCTCGGTGATGACAGTGGTCGTGCTCGCCCTTCAGCGGCGGTCACGCACACCTTGCTCCCAGCGCTGCTTCTGCTTCGGGAGCGAGCTCCGCCTGGTCTTGGCGGCACCCTTTCTACTGATGGCGCTTCCGGCTTCTCGTGTCCTGGCAGAAACCGCGCCCTGCCCTTGGCGGTCCTCGTGCTTGCCCTGCTTTCCCTGCCCTCGGTGGTGCTATCCCAGCTCTCTGTGGCGTGCCCTCGGCGGCGCTCCGGTGGCGGCGTCGCCAGCGCCGTTCTAGGGCAGGGGCTGCTCTGTGGCGAGGGAGACAGACGGGCGTGGAAGGACGAGTGGCGGATGTGGTGCTGGGATTTGCTCGGTTTTGTGGTGCTGACATCAGGAAATCAGGGTGTTTATCATATTTTCTTCATTTACAGTACATGAATTGCGCGCGTCAGCAATCATCATGAATTACAAATACACAATGTAGCTGTAAGTACACCTGGGACTTCCAGTGCCCTGGGTCGGAGCTAGCAGATGATAAGGCTTGACCCACTTCAAAAGCTCGCCCTATCATGAGATGCACGAAGTGAACGGCCCGTTCGCACACCTTCGCATGAGGCGGTGATCTTTTGACCAGAGGCAGGGATAGGCTGTGCTATTCGTGCCATAAGGCTCCCCCAATGGGGGGAGCCTTACTTCCAGTGCAGCCAATAGACGAGTGGCAAGCGATCAACCGAGAGCCCCACGCACGTCCTGCGTTTGACTGCAATTCTACATCTTGGTTATAACATGTCAACAACCTAACTGGAGAAATGCGTGTCACGTTTGAGACGGAGACTCATTCGGCAATTTCCTCTGTGTCCAGCAACGAGTTTACATCAAAAGACAACCGCACCAAAACAGGCACTAAATAGCCATGAGCAGCATCACTCTACCCCCACTACACACCTGGACCAGCTTAGCGTTTCCTGCACTTGCCAGCCCGATCGTGTTCCACCCGGCATCGGCGTCCCACCGCGCACCCTGTACCCTTAGCACCCCGAAGCTCTCGCTGTCCTTCATCCTGGACGACAACCGTCCGCTGACTCCACCGGCCGCAGGCCGATCATACGGTTTGATCCTGGAGCCGAAGCAACATCCCGTGACCAAGGGACGCAAGCGTAAGCGTAAAATGACACCAGCCGAGAAGCGCGCGGCACGCCAGTGTTGCATTGAAGGCTGCTCCAACTACACCATTGATCGCGGCCTTTGTTTCCGGCATGGCGGAGGCAAATCCTGCTCCATGCCTGGCTGCACTGCCAGCGCCAAGCATCGCGGTCTCTGCTGGAAGCATGGCGGCTCCACACTGTGCACGGTGGAAGGCTGCACCCGTGGAGCCAAGTCACGTGGTCTGTGCTGGTCACATGGCGGTGGCAGCAAGCGCTCGGTGGCCAACTGCCCAAAAACGACCATCTCGAAGGGTCTGTGCTAGTCGCACGGTGGTGGCAAGTGGTGCGCGTTCGACGGGTGCAAGCGGCCCGCGTCGCAGAGCAAACAGAACTTCTGCGCCAAACATCAGCCTAAAACCACGGTGGTCACCCCCCTGCACACGTACCAAAGTAAAGCTGCCATCAACTGTACCATCTAAGAGTATTGGGCATATTTTAACACCAATTCCGCGCAAGAAGGTACAGACGTGCACCTCCAATTCGGCAGGGCGGACCATATCAGCAGTGCCAGGGCATAAATGCACAACGTAAAGCAAAAAACAAACGCAAATCCAGTGCACTGATATCTTATTTGTTAATTCAGTACAAAATTTACGGAAATCTTCTGCATAATTTTGGCGTCAGACGCGCGAATCGCGGGCGCGCAACAGCACATCCGGTCGCGATAGGCGTCCGGCAAGGCGGCAACTTCCGCGGACCGCTTAAAAATACTCTGGACGGTAGTGCGCTTTACTGGTTGGGGGGTCTTAAAGCGCTCCGTTGCCCAACGAGCAAGTTCGGAGCAGGATTTGACTTGTGGCTTCTCGCACAAAGACTGCTTTTGTGCGACATGTAGGAGGTGTCCCATTGTCTTGGCGGTAAAAAATCCAAGTGTGTGTTTGTATGAAGACGTCTGATCCAAAATTTAAAATCAGATCGATGCGGCGTGTCATCCCTTGGCGAGGAGGGGAAAACCGTTGAGGTTAATTGCTGGGTGGTGATGGGCAAAGGTAATTGCGCATCCGATTCGCGTAATCATCAAATCTGGCAGGGTATTGACTGATACCGGTGCCGAATTGGAGGTGCACGACTGTACTCGCTCACCCCTCCCATACAAAAACTAGGGATAAGTGTAGCCATATGTCATTGTTTGGCCGCCAAATTGGCTCGGATTTTATCCAATGAAATTTGATTTCTCTTTAGAAAGTCTGGAGCTATCCAAAAGGCATTTGAATGTTTTGTGGGCTCAAAAACCGGCTGCGCTTCGATTTATTCAACTAGATCGGTGAAAGTGTAGATATTAGCCTTTAAAGTTCGGTCGATCGTCCGGACTGCACGCTCCTGAAAGATGGGACATCATCCCGTTTTAGAGGTTTTCTTAATTTAGCTAAGTCATGATGTATTTTCGATTCAAGAGTCCCCTATCTCACCATTCTTATTTTGACATCCCTCCTAGCATATATTGCAAAATTTTACAGCTGTAACTGATAATTTCTCTGCGATCCGTGATTGGCGGAAAACTCCAACTTTTGAGCTTTTCAACGATACCTTGTGTTAAAATAGGGTATTATTGGTCGATCCAGAGGTATAGTGTCTTTCCTCTATTTTGTCCTCCCAATCGGACTTCTTATTTGGGTTTTGGAGCCTTAACAAGAGATCGGTAAGTTGCAGGAAGCCAAAACGCAAAGTTAACTATGTGGGTCACATCACAACTCAACTTTCCTCCTGGCGTCCAGTCGCTTCATTTGCCGATAGGAGCTGCATGTCACCCCCCTCTCTCTCCTAAAGAGGCTCGATCAACAAGATAGCTAACGCGGTGTACGTAGCAAGCGGCGCACACACTCCGAATTCAGCACGCAGCTCTTCAAAAATAAAAAATGGATGATCTTTGACATACCCCTGAGCAAACAAACACACATTTTGAGGGGTAGTTTCAAATGATACAAAAATTTCCCACTGACCAGCCGAAGAGCATCTTCTTGCACGGAATTGGTGTTCAATAACAAAGAGCATGCTGGCTACTACGATAACACCAGCTCCTTCTAGTAAGACCCTATTGTACCACAAGGTATCGTTGAAAAGCTTAGAAGTTGCAGTTTTCCACCAATCACGAATCGCGGAGAGTTATTCAGTCACAGCTGAGAAATTTCGCAGGTTTAACTAGAAGGGATGATAAAACAAGGATGGTGGGAAAGGGGACGCTTGAATAGAAAAAAACGTCTTGACTTAATCCTGACTCTTGAATAGAAAATGCGTCTTGACCAAGTCCTGTATGATATATCACGGATCGCGAAAAAACTTTCGGTTCCAGCTGAGAAATTTCGCAATATCTACTAGAAGCAATGTGGATACAGCCAAAGGTATTCTGCTTAATCGCCTTTCTGCTTTAGAGCTAATTTGCAAGATAAAGCGGATCGGCTTTATCGTGCTTATAAATCGACTTTTTGATATTTGCGCACGGCGAGACGGGCTCCACCAGAGAAAAGCTTCGTCTGCATGAGCTTCTTTGTTTTCGTACGCGGTCACCCACGACTCTTCCCGCTCTCCCGCGCATGCTTGGTGACGACGTTCCCCGAACGCCCCAGATCAAAGCGCAGCGCGCGGCAAACTGTAGAGTCTGATACTTGGAGACATGCTGCGGTTATGCGTACGAACGAGGATGCGAATAAACCATCATTACCCCTACGCATGCGCTGGGCAGCTTGGAAGTCCTCCTGGTGCCGGTCGAGGTCATTCGGGTTCTCCCGGGGCTCATGAACAGCACCCTCCTCCTCCTCTTCCTCGTCATCCGAGGAACCGAAGAAGTTCTGATAGGAGTACCCAGTCTCCTTTTCTTTGCAGATTGGAGACTTCCAGTCGGTTCAAAGCGATCGCAGGGACTTTGCACATAAAAAATGCAGGTGTAACGCTGGCGCATTCGAA